GTGTCTGTCTGTGACTGTGTGTGTGTCTGTCTGTGACTGTGTGTGTGTGCGCGTGACTGTGTGTGCGTGTGTGACTGTGTGTGTGTGTGCGCGTGTGACTGTGTGTGTGTCTGTGTGTGCGCGTGTGTGTGTGTGTGTGTGTGTGTGTGTGTTTGCAGGCATTACAGGAAGCGCTCCAGCTCGAAGGGCCGGTCCGGCAGCAGGTCTAAGAGCCGGTCGCCAGACTCCAAGCGCTCTAAGAAGGAGGAGCAGACGGGATCCCGCACCCGCGAGCGCAGCCGCAGAGAGAGGTCACGCAGGTCACGCTCCAGAGAACGCAAGAGACCGAGGTCAGGCTCGCGCCGCGCATGCACCGCACACATCCGCTCCGCTGCGCTGCTGACGCTCTGCTCTGTCACCTCTCTTCACAGGCGCTCCAGGAGTCGAGACAGGAGACGCTCACGCAGCCGAGAGCGCAGGAGCCAAGGGAGGAGGTCAGCATACAGCAGCGCTTCTCAACTCCAGTCCTCGCGACCCACCGCTCTTGAGTGTGTCTCTTATCACTTCAGACGTTTGTTCTGTTCGATTCCAGTTGGAAGGGAGCATTATATGTTCCATTCAAAGGGCATTAAAGTGTGCGAGATGTGAGTTTAAGTTATATTACAGAGGAGTATTATGTCACACTGTGTAGGGACCCTGTGAATCGGAACACAGTTCACACATGCTCTGTTCTAACGAGCGGCTGATCTGAATCAGGTGTGTTAAATAACAGAGACATGCAAATTATGCAGAGCGGTGGAATGCCAGGACTGGAATTGAGAACCGCTGTCCTACATTATCTACACACAGCCACCTCAGCGCTTTGACAGTGTGTGTGCTTGAACTTGCTGTGTAACGCTGCGCTCCGAGACCCCCTGGACTGAAACAGATCTGGTGCAGAAAGAATTTTCACTCAGAAATTGCTAGTGAATTTCACAACTAATCACAAAGAAACAGCAACTAATTTTAGTTTTATTTACAACAGTGTAGAAGGCCTCAGCACACTTCCAAGATGACTTTAAATGATTCAAAATTAGACAAAACAAGTTGTAAGCTGAAATCATATATGTATTATATATTTTATTTTATTTTAAAAATCTGTATGTACATATAAAACATTTATTATTATCATGTTGAAAACAGCTGTGTGGAATTCTTTCAGGTTACTTTGATGAATAGAAAGTTCAGAAGAACAGCATTTATCTGAAATTGAATTCTTTAATATTATAAATATCTTTATCATCACTTTTGATCAATTTAAAGCATCCTTGCTAAATAAAAGTATTAATTTCTGATCTTCGGATCTTTCTATTCATCAAAGAATCCTGAAAAAATTTCCAACATTGATAATAATCAGGAATGTTTCTCGAGCAGCAAATCAGCATATTATACTGATTTCTGAAGATCATGTGACACTGAAGACTGGAGTAATGATGCTGAAAATACAGCTGCGCATCACAGAAATACATTACAGTTTAACAGATATTAAAACCGAAAGCAGTTATTTTAAATAGTAAAAATATTTCACAATATTACAGCTTTTGTTGTATTTTGGATCAAATAAATGCAGGCTTGGTGAGCAGAAGAGACTTCTTTAAAATACATTTAAAATATTACTGTTCAAAGTCTTTTGACTGGTAATGTACAATATACCGTATACAAGTTTTGTCAAGATTTATAATATTTTATCAAATGATTGCTACTTTTGTGAAATCTAGAAAATCATATAAATTCATCGGTAAAAAAAAAAAAAGTCTGCACCAGAGAGAACATTACATTTTGGGATTATGGAATTTAATTATTTGAATTTATCACCACTCCTAGTTTCTGTAAATAAGACGTTTGCAACTAAGCAGCTTTGCCATTATAGCAGAAGTATTTGGAGTCAAAAGCTTGTGATCTGCTGATCTTACAGCAAGGAGAAGTCTGAGAACGCAGAGCTGTCCGCTGACAAGAAGAAGATCAAGGAGGAGAAGGAGGAGGAGAAGGCTGAAGATGTAAGTGTGTTTCAGTCAGCTCAGGTCTTCAGACTTCTTCTTTCGTCAGATGTCGTCTTCTGAAGGCCTTGGTGATCAGAGCTCACTGCACATTAACCTGATTCACGACGGTTGGTTCTGCAGCAGGACTTTGACCAGAACACTCTGGAGGAGGAGATGAGGAAGAGGAAGGAGCGAGTGGAGAAGTGGAGGGAGGAGCAGAGGAAGAAAGCCATGGAGAACATCGGAGAACTCAAGAAGGAGCTGGAGGAGATGAAGCAGGGGAAGAAGTGGAGTCTGGAGGACGATGACGGTCAGAGAGCCTTCACTCATTCAGACAAACTAACTGATATGCATCACACTGTTAGGAAAGTCTTGAGAGCTCTGATGCCGTTTTCAGACAAAAAAATTCTCATTTAACTCGTTTCCATTTATTTTTCCATTACGGATTTTTAAAAAGTCTACGTTAAAGAGCTATAAGACATGAAACGAACCAAACATCACAT